AGCCCTGACCCCAGAGCTCCCTAGGCCCCAGCCCTGCCCAGGCCAGGACCCTCCAGCTCTGTGGGGAGAAGTGCCCTCCTGCAGGCCCTCAGTTCAACCTGCTCTCCATACAGTTGGGGACCCCGAGGGCAGAGCTGCAGAGAAGCCAAGGGCAGCCCTTATCTAAAGTCGCCATTGAACAGGGTTGAGAGAAACGTGTGTCCCTGACTTTATGCAGGAAAACCTGGTGGGAAGGAGTTGGGAATAGGAAACCCTGAGCTTCACTCGTTGCCGTGACCTTTGGAAATATTTCTTTCCAACAAGACATCAAAATGAAGTGAAAAACTCTTGGTTTCCACCACCTCTTTTCCTGGCCTTCACGTCTAAATAATCCAGAGAGAGCCAGCCACACGCTGTGGAACACACCTTTGTCTTTTCCTTTAACTAGCTGCCTGTCAGCACTATAGATGGTGCTAAAAGGGGTTGTACATGTCCCTGGCTGTCCCTGTGCTGCCCGGCTGGGCTTGGCTTACCCTTCATGGTGGTGGAAGTCACTATCTATCAGAGCCTGAGGTCAGGAGATGGGTGGGTCTCAGCAGGGTAGGGACATGTGATGAGTGGCCTCAGGGCCAGAGGCTGAGGCTTCTGTCCTGGGCAGGGCCACTACTGTACCCTTGGCCTTGACTAAGAGTCTGAACAAATACTGACCTTGGACCCCACTCTCAAGTTGGATGAAGGGGAGTTGGGGGAGACCCAAATGAATGACGTCCTCTGTGCACAAACATTGGACTGTACATTACAGGGTGTCTGTCAGGAGGTGAGAGGCTGCAGGGGGAGGTGGGGGAAGGTTTCCATCCCAGGTGAGCACCTCCACCCACCTCCCATGTCACCTAACCTCCTCTGATTTCTTCCCTTTACAGTGAGGGTCTGAGGGACAGAGAGGGTCAGGGCCTGGCCAAGGCTGCACAGAGAAGCTGAGGCGAAGGTGGAACAAGCCTTGGTTTCCTCCTCTGGGACCAGGGGCTGACACAGTCCTGCCCATGGGATCCAGGCTTCATGGATGTCAGACCTGGGCCCTGACAGTGACCCCAAGCTTCCTGCTGGGTTCACTCTATTTCCTGGCCTTTTCTGAAAGCCTCGGGGGCCCAAGACCTGCTCCCCCTGGGCTACTACTGGAGGCAGCACCCTGTACCCCCAAAGCCTTGAGCTGGGCAGGCCAGCTGCAGAGGGTGGACTGGAGCCCTCAGGTACAGACACAGAGGCCAAGCCTTCAGGAAAGGACTGGAG